TACTTCCCCATACTTTCCCTACTTCCCCATCCTTTTCCCTCTTCTCCCTACTTCTTTACTTTCCATCCTTTCCCCTTCTTCCCCATCCTTTTCCGTTATTCCCCCCATTTTTCCCCTCCTGTTACTTCCCCATCCTTCCCTTACTTCCCCTTTTTCCCCCTTCCCTTACTTCCCATCCTTCCTTCTCTGTCCTTCCGCTCCCCATCCTTCCTTCAATGTCTCTCCCCTCCCTGTCTTTCCCTCCCCTCTCCTTTCCCTTTCCCTTCCCCCCCTCCCCACCCCCCTCCCCATCCACAAAGACGAAAGGACGGCGATATGCGAGCCGAGAACCCGCGTGGGCTAGAGGGACGAACTACCCCTGTCCAGAGGCTCGCCATAGGAGTTATAAAGGGGATAGCGTGGATCGGTGTGTTCGGCCCGCTTCACGTCACGCCCTTCGTAGCTCTTCCGAAAGGACCCTGGAATTTTGCCTGGGGGGGTTCTGGGGCGGTGGGGGGATGGGGGTTCAAGGGGTTGGGGTTCAGTGCGGGGTGTGGGTTCTGTAGTTCAGGGGGATGGGTTCTGGGGGTTCTGGGGTGGGGGTTTCAGGGGTTCAGGGGGGTTCAGGGGTTCAGGGGTGGGTTAGGGGTTCTGGGGGGGATGGGGTTTAGAGGTTCTGGGCGATGGGGTTCACAGGGTGGGTACGTGGATAGGGGTGGGTTCAGGGGTCTGGTTGTGGTTGTTCTTACGTTAGGATTGGGTTCGATGCGTTGTGGTAAGGTTTTGAGGAATGGTGAATTGTTTTTTTTCTGTTCGTCTATTATATAGTTATCTATCTATCTGTGAGTCTGTCTATCTTTGTATGTATTGCCAATCATATCTATCTATCTATCAGTCAGTCAAATCCATGGCTCTATCTTTGCCTGTCTATCTACCTATTTATCTGTTCATTTATCTATTCTAGCTATCGATCAGTCGTGTAAAATAATGGGGAAAGGAATGGAAATTTTGCCAAAGTTCTTCCTTGTTTTTGTGTATAGCTATGAATAAGAATGATTATCTTCACAATACATCTCTTGTCAACACGAATGCAGTTCCTTTGCTTTCGTGTGCTTTGCCTGTCTTCTTTCGTTTTGGTTTTGCTTCCGTATTCGTTAAAAAAAACACAGTGCGTTGGATTGGAATATTCTCTCGCATTATCTCATAGAGTCGAGTCTTTGGATATAACCCTGAGGGATTTACACGGGGTTTCGTATAATGGGTTTCGACTGGGGTGTTCTCTGATGGGGTTTCTTTCATCGGTTTTGCGTGTGGTGTCATATACCATGTTTATCAGTTTGCTTTTGATCATCTAGATTAACTGATTTTTTTCTTCTTCTTTTTTTTGGGGGGATGAGAGTATCTGATTAAGCCTTGATGGAGAAAAAATATGCGGATTTTTTTTTGTTTTTTTTCGGTAAAATAATTAACCGTCATTTGCTACGAAGATTAATTCACAAATATAACAAAATGACAAAAAAAAATGTATTTTAATGAGTCCTGTGTTATATATACACAAGTAAAGATAGCATTAACAATATACTGAGTCCTTTCCGGAAATCACTGATTTAATGAGAACCAAGAGTATATTTATACTACTATGAATCTGTATTTGTATAGTCGTTTTTAATCATTTTAATAAAGTACGCCATACTGTGATGGAATTAGTATTGCCCATATGTCCTCGTGTAATTAGCTTTAATCAAATAACAAATTTGTTTGATCAACTTTGCTAACATTATTAGGTATCAAATTTGTTTTTTGAGTATGAAAACAATGTGCAAATAAATCAATTATAATTTGGTAGATCTCTGTGTATTAACACACACGATATATGCAGTAATAATACTATGATAAATGGGACAATGAATAAAGGACTATATGGATAATCAAGTAGCATATATATGTGTATATACATGTGTACATAGATACACAAACACACAGACACACACACATACACACACAAACACACACACACAACACACACACACCACACACACCACACCACACACACACACACACACACACACACACACACACACACACACACACACACACACACATATAGTATATATATATATATATTATATATATATATATATAATATATATATATATATATATATATATATATATTATACTACACACACACACAACACACACACACACACACACACACAACACACACACACCACACAACACACATATGTGTGTGCATGTTGTATATTGTATATATATATATATATATATATATATATATATAATATATTAGTATATATATATATATTATATATACATTATAATATATGTTATGTGTGTGTTGTGTGTGTGTGTTGTGTGTGCGTGTGTATGATGTATGTACATATATGATAAAAGTAATGATAAGAGAATATATGACAATAATTAATAACCATCCTGTTACAGTTATTACGATTTACATAATGCAATTTGGCTAATAGTAATCAAGCATCGATAACAGTAAGAATGGTAAAAACTATTATATAAATATACAATGTACCAATTTATATATTATATATTATTTATGCTGTTTTAATCAATTTCAATTTGATTAATGCACTTATATTTGACATTGTCTCCATTATGATTTTTCTGACAAGGCGAAAATGAGTTAAGAAACAAGAATATACTCATTTTTATAAAGTATCCCTAAATGCAAACGCAAAAAACAACTTATTTACATAGTCCCAACACTTCTATAGACACTGTCTCTGAGGCCTGTTCTCTTCCCCAAGCAATCTCTGACTGAAATTGACTTCAAAAGAGTTACCATTGGATGGCGATGCTAAGGGACATTGGCGATGGAAGTTTTAAAAATGGACGTCAATATAGAATGGTTGTAGGGACGTGTATGGTAGTGCGTAGGTTTGTGGTAACGTGGTTGTTGTTGTAGTAGTAATGGTAGTGAGAGAGGAAGTGCATGGGTTTAGTAATATTGATTCGTCAATGCTAACCTAAATATAAAAGTGAAAACGTATTGATAAAGTATTAGACTGGATATTGCAATTGATGCTAAGCAAAACTCAGGATCTGGATATGTAGACATTTTGTAAAAAAAGATGTCAGTGATGACAACATCAGGAAAACACTCTTGACAAAGGAAACATCCATATCTACACAGAAAGGAGGGAAAGGCACCACACACACACCACAGCACACACACACAACACACACACACATCTACACACACACACACACACAACACACACACACACACACCACACACACACACACACACACTAACACACACACACAACACAAACACTACACCACACAACACCAACACACACCAGACACCAACACACACACACCACACGCGAAGGACACGAAAAAAAACACACAATACACAAAAAACAGAGAAAAAAGTCCTCCGTTCTTAAATCTGCCTCCAAATCTGACCATACTGCCACAATTATATGTGGAACGATCTTTATCCATTTAATCACGAGGTTTGAAGATATCATTGTCATTCATAGATATCGCCACGCTCCGGAAGTTT